TGCTACCCATTAGAAAATAAAAACAAATATGGGGAGGGGAATGGACAGACAAAAGGCAGAATCCTAGCTCCTGTTGAAATGCAAATGCTGGGTTCAGAGAGCTGCAAGTTCAACCTAGCAATTCAGTTCACCTACTGATTGAAAGGAAGGAGAGGGAGGGGACAGGGATGCAAATGGGAGCTGTCTCGGGGACTGCTATCATTCCTTCCCTGCAGCCAGTGTTTGGAGAGGAATAACGATCCAGTTTGTGTTGCTGCTGGGAGAAGGAGGCATTAGCCTGGAGAGTGCACGGAGAAGCAGCTCCCACTGCAAAATGAAACAGATGAGGTTTCATCTCCCACTCTCTGCAGGTGGGGCCAACCTCTGCGACTAGCTTAGCACTCAGCTCACCTCTTTGCTTTTGTTTTCTTGTGGGAGTTTCTCAACCAAGGCAGAGCCTCACTTCAGAACAGCCCAGATGCCCCTCTGCCTCCCAAGGGCTTTGACTGCTTCTACAAGCAAAGGCACAGCCGGCAGTAACTCTTCCCTTCTTCCATGGAGGGAGCAGGGGAGCAGGTAATTGTGGCTATAAGCCATGGCGCTGCAAGTGGCAGCCTCTGCTCTAGCTTTTACCCCATTTCCCAAGGAAGCCCCAGGGAACCTGGACAAGTTGGGGCTGGGGCCCAGACACCAGAGAAGGGGTGGGGATGGCACCCAGCAGATTTCCTGGCTCTATGCCAGGCCAGAGCTGCCTGCTGTGTGCAGGAAATATTCAACATTCTGTGTCTTAAAGAGAGCCTGGAAAGGCTCCAAGACTGTACTTAATACATCTGCTGGGAGCTACACAGACGGAAACGGAGAGGGGGGGGGGAAGGTTGCTGTCTGCAAAAATAACCCTTGCAGGGCCAGCAGAGCACACAGTATCCAGAGGGCACAGGTAGTAGTAAGTGAACATAAAAGTCCTTTCTTACCTCCAGTTGCACACACACAATGTAAAGCTCATTTGTAACATTGCATCTGTGTTGCTGCTTTATGATCCTGGGAGGTAGGCAGGGGATGTGATTTTAGTTGCTAGAATATGCATCCATGTGTTTCCTTTAGCACATAACCAAACAGAGGGATGGATAAGCGTCTATGTCACAGAGGAGAAAGCTGACTCAGAATATGACTTATATGGTCAAGTCTCTGGGTTTAGCCCCAAAGCGGGGGGGAGGGGGGGTTGGGGGGATCAATCAAGTTCAAGCACTGAATATTCTAGGAAACATTTTCACTAAACTCTCCACTGCAGTTGACTTTGGAAAGAAGACACATTGCCCCTGCCACCTCTTAAGTCACCTCTAGTATAGAGGGTAATATGGTTAGAAACTAGTAACTGAGAGGTACTTTTGCGTTCTGATATATTTGAGACAATTGCAAAGACCAGTGAAGACAGAAAAAAGGGACTGACTTCAAGTGATAACTCTCCAGAGGGTATTGTCCGTTGGAGAAAAACTACACCCAAACATCCCCACCAGGAAAGGGAGACAAGGCTCTCTTCTGTGTCTCCATCTCTTATCTCTATGTTCCACTTGTTGCTGACTTATTCCTGAAGCTCTGCCGCCCTTAGGACTTCATCTTCAACTGTAGGCTGTGTGAACTCTTTAAGCTAAAAATGTTGTGGGAAAGACATGTGTGGAAGTTAGGGACAATGGGTAAATACCTACAAGGAGGCAGAATGAACATATATAGAGGGAATGTACAAAGACTGCAAGCTCTCTTGGGGTTTGTTTGGAGTAAGAAGGTGATTGGGGAGAGAGAAAAGAAGAAAAGACCGGTGACTGAATGGGAAAAAGATGCTTGTTTTAATACATTCCTTTATCAAAATAAATATACCATGTATATTTTTTGCCAGCAGATATGTATATGTACACACACACACCAGTATAGTCTTTAAACCTGTCACCTGCTCTACTTACACTAAACAATTCCATAGCTATGCTTGTCTCACCTTGTAAGCACAGCTGTGAGTTTCAAATTTTATTAAACATCTGCATCGTTCACAGACTTCTTTTTTTTTAAAGACTTCATCTAATTGCCTTAGGTCACAGGGACTACCACCTTATCAATGTGCTAAAGGCATAATAAACTTAGCCACATTATTAAGGGACAATAATAAATGAATACAGGATAAATAGCAAAGGATTTTGATGATCTGTGTTCCTTGTAGAAGAATAGCTCATAAAACAATCATTCTGTGATATATGTTTACATGCTCTATAAGGTTGATACACATACTTGTATATATAAATGCTACAGATATTGCCATGGTTTGGACCTGGCTTGAGCACATCTCTTAAATTACCTTAGCAGAAAGGAAAGATGCTAGGACTTTAAAAGGTGGGGCTTGATGGGAAGTGACTAGGTCATTGCCCTTAGAGTGATTAATGTTGATTCCTTGGGTAAGTCAGCTCTGAGAGAATGAGTTGTTATATACAGAACAACGTCATCCTTCCCTGCCCTCTGACTTCCCATATTGCTATGGGAATTTACTAGTTCCTAGAACCACAGAGGACAGTGATGGCCATAGGTTCTTACTATCCTTTCTACCTCCAGATTTTTTGAAGGAGTAGGTGGATGAGTCAAGTATCGATCCTCTGATACATATGCATCAAGTATGGTTCCTTGTACAAAGAAAAAAACTCAGCAACTATTGAGTGGCATCTCTATGCCAATAGAGGCACACATTAGATGGGGGGGTTGCATTCCATGATTTTGTTGTTGTTAGTAAATAGCTCAGAGCCTGCAAACTCATCTTTACACTGCTTCTATCAGCTTGGGGAAGAAAATGGATGACAATATGAAAACCCTGAGGCATAGGGGCAGTTACAAACTCTGATATTCATTGGAGGAATCAACACGGAGCCCAGGGCTTACAAGTCAGCCCCATCTTTCCCTCCTCCTTATTACAATCATTCTTCCCTCGGCCTTTCCGGTTCCCTCACATACATTCCAGAGCCCCTCTATGTAAATTCACATCCCATAAATCTCAAAGCTTTCCTTCTGTTTCAGTGCAAGAGGCTGAACAAGATAGAGACTTTTCTCTTTTCTTAACCAGCAAATGGTTTTTTTTATCCCCGCAATCGATCCACCTCTTTTAAACAGTAGGTTTCTCTTCATGTAGTCACGAAGACTCCAGAATTCCGTCCTGGTTTTCTCTCTCCTTGCGACTCCTCCCTACCCCTTTAAGTTCAGAGAGCTTGCTTCCTCTTCTCCACCTTGCTCTCTTCCCACAGATTTATCTGATCTCTGTCGTTCATAAACGATCACTCTCTCCAGACCCATGTACTTCCGGCCTGCTGCGTCTAGAATTTAAATGTGCTAATCAGATTTTGCTGTGCGTCCTCACACTGTGTCCCTCCGCCACCCATTTTTGCCTTCTTCGCTTTTATCTTTCCATCCTCACCTTCATGGTACACAGGCCTATTAAATGGGGTCCAGTGCAATTTCTGGCACCCAATAAATCTAAATTTTCAAGCTTGGGAAGTTAGGCTTACCCACTGGCACCCAGATAAATGAGTCCTCGGCAAGAAACCTATACTGCTCATTACTCTCTCCCGAAACCACAACAGAGGGCCTAGAAAGTCAAAATCCCCTCTTTCCTCTTCACTTCCTGGAATGGAACATGTCCCCGCCCTCAACAAAGGGACTTGCACTTTCATCTCTGTCCTCTCTTTCTACACATGTGCTCAGTGAGGCAACAGCATCCCAGCCAGTATCTAGCTGGTTCTCTCTCTTGGTGCCTCTGAGTGAGACTTACCACACCTAGTACACAAGTCCCCACTGTACAGCAAAGAACTGTCTACATGCTTCCAATAAGGAAGAGACCATGCAAGCGAGCATAAATCCCTCGAGTACAGAGAGTAATGCTTCAACACCCTAAACCTAGCTCTTCCATCTGAATGACAAGGGACCTCTAGTTATCCGAGATTAAAGAAGGGTTGCTGAGTTTGGGGCCCCTTGAAACCAGGCCAGCTTCCTAGAAAACTGTTGTGAAAGAGGAACCCAGAGCCAGGGCTGCAGGTAGGAAGCAGGGTTGCAGTTGGTGTTTTCATACCCGCCCCCCCCAGGCCACGATCTGCTTTCAAGAGGCTGGGGATATTTGTATTTACTTATGTGTTATTTTGCCTTGAGAAATTACCTAACCTCTCACTTTACCAGCTTCCTGCTTCTCTACAATAAAAATCAATGACAACAAATCTTTTAAACCTCTCTCAACACTACAGTGGTCTGAGGACAGTTCCTCCTCTGGCCTCTTGCCACAGGTCTACTACTGGAAAAATCCAATCAAGAAATGATAATTCTAGAAGACAAATATCTTTAAAAACAAAGAACCTGGTTTGGACTTCTATGGAACAAACACAGTGATCAAGTTGACACTGTGCTGATTAGCTTTGGGAGCCAGTGTGGCTAGCATACTGTACTGATAGTTAAGCACTAATCCAACGGTTGTTCATGATGGTATTGTGTAAATGTGGTCACTGGCTATATTTGATTTGCAATAGATCACCTTGATCATGTTGGTGGCTGTGATGGCAGTTTGAATAAGAGATGTCCACCATAGTTTTGGACAGTTAAATATTTGACTTCAGTTGGTCATGTAATGTGGGAAGGTTTAGGAGTTGTGGCCTTGCTGAAAGAAGTATGTCACTAGGGTTAGGTTTTGAGATTGAGGCATCATGAGTTTAGGGGACAAGCTTAGACTACATAATGAGACCCTGTCTCTCAAACACTAACACCCAATACTAACAGCAGCACCATCTCAAGAGGGAAAGCTAAAGTTACTTCAAAAAAAAAATCTGCCTCAAGTGTATAGAATCATTGTCTCAATTTCTGACCTGCTGGTCTAACTTTCAAAGCTCACACTGGCCAGCCCCATGATTGTGTTATTCCATTTCAATCTATTTATTCAGTGTGCTTTGTGTTGCTGTGAATAAACAACACCAAGAACAACATGGGGAGGAAGGGCTTTATTTGGTTTACAGGTTGCAGTCCATAACTGGGGGAAGCCAGAGCAGGAGCTCAAGACAGGAATCTGGAAGACAGGAACCTGAAGCTAAGACCCTAGAGGAACACTACTTGCTGACTGCTGTTCCTCAAACCTTGTGAAATACACACCCATCTAAGGGCTTTGTGGATACAGGCCCCTACACCTGCAATATCTCTGCTGGAGATCCACACGAAGACTCCTGATATCCATGAGGCTGTTGCTGTCTTTGGACTCCTGAATCCATCCACTCCACATTCAAGGGAACACATAGCTCTTTTCTATGCCTTAAGTCCTCAAAGCACATCTCAACACCTGACATATTGTTGGCTCTCTTGTTTACTCACTGCTTGTCTATGTCTACTTTCAACATGTCAGATCTGTGTCATCAAAGGCTTTGTCTCTTGAATTCAGTATTGTGCTAACTGGTACCAAGTATAGACCCTGACTCAATGATTATTTGTTGAATGGCTGAATGAATGTTTGAAGTGAATGTTGAGCCCCATTCACTGTAACCTCTTTCCCTGAAGCACAGGTCTTTGCTCCTTCATGTGGACACATTTGTTCCCTGCCCCTCCACTAGTTCTTTAATAAAAATGGTTCAGTTGGCTCATCCCAGTTTATTTATACTCCACCATGTGGTCGGTTTGAACTGAGGAGTATATTAGTTTTCTGTCAAGTTTGGTTAAGTTCCAGCATAAGAGTCATGGCTGCAGGAGTAGGAAGCTGAGAGTTCACACCTTCAAATGAAAGAACAAAACAGGAAGAGGACAAGACTATAAACATTAAAAGTCCATCCCCAGTGACATCAAGATCCTGCATCAAGGTCCCATCCCTCAACAGTTTCACAACTCCCCACAACAGCGCCACTAACAGGGGACCAAGTGTTCCGAGCTTATGGAGGACATTCTTATTCAAGCCAACACTAGGTATTTGGGCACTTAAAGCAATTCAGCTGCTTTCTGACAGTTTGTCCCTTTTTCATGGACTTCAGATTCACATAGTCCTGATGGTCCCATCCATCTCCCTGACTGATAGGCAGAAATCTGGGACTTTGAACTTGAGGAACAGATTCCTATCTTGGATCTGTCAATTTCCTCATCTGTGAATGAATCATTCCAAAGCCCTCACCTGGAGTGGCTAACTTGAGAAACAACATACAGCCAGTGTTTAACACAGCATCTGGCAGATAGTAAATGTCATGAATACCTAAACTCTCTTAGCCTTCTGTCTTGTGTCAACTTTCCACCCCATCTCTTGAGCAACAAGCCTCCTCCCTTGATCTTTTTCTTGTACCACATGAAGTTTTGGCAAAGCCCTTCTTATCTCCCTTGCCCTGGGGGCAGCTTGCTGAGAGAGCCTCCCCAAACACCTGTATATACAATGTCTGAAATTACAATAAGAGAAATTTGGCAGGAGACCTAAAGTTAGTTCAATTGGTAAAAATGACTTATAAGCCTCAAGACAGTGTATTGCTTTGGATCACTGGCCATTGCGTTGAAAGATTAGCATGAATTAGGTTACAGATAGCTTAAGAATCCCCTCTTTATTAAGAGGTACGATTCCAGCATGCTCTGATTAGAAAAAGGTGACCAATTAAGAAGCCCTGAGGAACAGTGTGTCTCCCATGAGTCTGGAGTGTTCACATCTGATTATCTTCCTATAGGTCCTGTTCGTGTTAATGTGGATGGCAGGCAGGGACAAAGTCAGACAGCACAGTCAAATGGGATGATGGAGGAAGTTTGATGAAGGGGCTTCTTAAAAAGGTGCTGGGAAGACCGAGGTAAAATGTCTTAGTTAACTTTCTATTGCCACAACAAAATCCCACACCAAGGCAATTTATAAAAGAAGAATTTAATTTGGAGCTCATAGTCCCACAGGGTTAGTCTATGACCATCTTGACAGGAAGGATGACAACAGACAGGCAGGCATGGCTCTAGAGCAGTAATTGAGAGCTTACATCTGATCTATAAGCAGGAGATGGAGAGGGTGGGGAGAGCCAGTCCCCAGTGTCACACTTCCTCCAACAAGGCCACATCGTCTAATCCTTCCCAGATAGTTCTACAAACTAGGGACCTGCCATTCAAATATGTAAACCTATGGGGCCATATCATTCAAACCAACTAAAAGTGTTGATCTAGCAGGGTGGTAACCCAACACACACACACACACACACACACACACACACACACACACACACACACACACACAAACACTTGGGAACAAATGCCCCTCCTTGATCACAATTTGCCCTCCTGTTTCCAGTCACTGCCCACCTTTGTACAGATCTCGGGAAAAAATGATTGCTGAACTCACAGAGATGGAGGTCAGTCTCCAAAATCCCAGGACAGGATGGAGAAATGGAGGGAGGATCTTAAGGAGCCAATGGGGACATTCAGTTAGGTTTGCTTGATAATGAGGGTAAGCGAGAGGGCTTTCCCAAAATGTTTTTGTAATGTTGACAGCCCTCAAAATAGGCAAAAATCACTTCTATTTGATTAAAGATAGATCTTTTATTTTTAACTATATGTACATATGTGTCTAGGGGCATGTATACTTATGAGTATGGGGGCCTGTGAAAACCAGAGAGGATGTTGGAGTCCCTATTGCTGAAGTTAAAGGCAGTAGAGAACTACCCAACATGGATGCTGGAACCTGAATTTCAGTTCTCTGGCAAGGGCAATATGTGATCTTCACCACTGAGCCTTCTCTCCCGGCCCTGCATGGATTACTCTTGTTAAATATCTTAGCTTTTATTGGTGGTTCTGGGATTGTGAGACCTCTTCCCTTTGTTTTGTTTATTGCACAGCCTATAGTGATCAGTGATATTTAAAATTGATTTGTGACTATACAAACTCATTTACATGAAGTTACACACTAAATCAGGGTATGGTGGCAGAAGATACAACATTGGTAACTTCTGGAAAGGGGTGTGTGCTGTCTGTGAAGTGGCCCAAGGGACCCTGGTAACAGGGTATGTATATTGGCCAGACTCCATTAAGCCACACATGTAAGACTTAGGTATTTTATTGTATGCAAATTACACCTCTAGAAAGAGAAGAAAAAATGGTAGGTTATGCCCTTGAAAGAGGAGCAGTGTTTGTGTGCAATCGTCTTTCGTGTTTATACAATCTATATGATCAAGTGCAAACCAGATCAGCATTGTCTCATGTGCCCTCTCTACATTTGCTCCCGGTACTCAGTCTTTCAAGAGGCAAAGATAGGGGAGGGGCACAGACGTGTCTTGGTGAAAGCTGCAGACAATTACCCCCAGTTGAAAATAAACATAATAAAACTATAGAAGTCTAATTTTTGCAACTTGAGAGGGTTTTTCTGTAGCTATTCATTTCTAATCACTCTCACCTAATAAATGAATAGAATAGCTAATGTGATTAGACTAATTCACTATTCATCAGGAATATTAAATGAATAGAATATTTTGCATTTCACCAGTCACACATCTTGAGTATTTACCTGATATTACAATCAGACATGTGTTAGATTTTTCCCTGTGCTTCTGGGCCATAGCTCATGGATAATTACAGTGTTTAATTAGACCCACACAGCACTTGGCTCTCCAGTGTGGAAGGAAATTACAGGATGTAGACAGAACAAATCAAGGCTGTAAAGGAAAAGTAGCCCTTTGCTATATCCCCTTGGAAGAATTAGCAGAGGAATGAGCAACAAACTTTGAATAGAGAAAGTTGTTTTCAATCAAGATTTTGCAAGGACATTTTTGGAAGCACAGTTAGTGGCCTTTAGATGGGAAACAATAAGGTACAGAATCTTTTCATAAGGTAGATTTTTGCCCCCTCATCATTCTTAAATGCCTGATATATTTGAAGATATCCTAGAACTTTTAGTTGGTGGAAAGCTACTTCTAAGCAAGGAGAATGGGTGGCTATAGTTTTGGCTTTGTGTGTGTGTGTGTGTGTGTGTGGGGGGGTTCTTCCAGAGACTCGGGCATCTATTTCTTCTTACTCCTTAATCTTGAAAATGCAATAAAGTACTGTGACAGCTGAGTGACTCGTTTTTCCCTATTAAATATGACAATGTCATAGTGGAAAGGAGAAGGCTAAGATAGCCTTGCAATTCTCACTAGAACATGAACAAATTCAATCCATACAACATCATGATGAGGACAGTGGAAGAAAGCAAGTGTGGAACTCCCTGTGGGAGGCATGTGCTTGGTGTATACGAAGGCATTGAAGATGGTGTTGTGCCAAGTGGAGGGAGAAGAGCAGTGTTGGGGCAGGAGGCTAAGAGAAGGTGACAGGCAGCCAGAGGGCAGATCAGGGAGCAGAGACAAGAATTTTCTTGTCTAAATGAGATTGGAAACCCTTGATCCATTTTTGCAGAGAAGTGCATTTATACTTTGAAAGGGTTGTTCTAGCTGCTGTGCAGAGGACAGACTGACATGGAAGGAGGTGGGGATAAAGGTAGAAAGAAATAGGCTAGTTTACTGACAAAGCCCAGTGGTGACTTGCTAGCAGTGGAGGCGGACAGCTATTACACATCTTGCCCTGTAGAGCTAAGGATCAAACCCAGAGCTCTCCATGTTAGACAAGATCCTACCAGTGACTTACATGCTTACAGTCCTTTGCACATATTTTGAAGGAAGAGTCATATTTAGATGAACAAGCCCTGGGGTATGCGTGGCAAAGAAGAATTACAGATGACTCCAGGGTGTGTCATCTTCAAAATAAGTAGAATAGAGGAGTCACCCCTCTTGATGGGGGAAGATGTAGATGAATGGGTAGGGAAAGTGTCATAATCAAAACTTGGAAGCACTAAGTTTGGCATTCTAATTACACCCTAGGGGAGATATCGAGGAAGAAGCTGGAATTCTGGGGAGAGGTATTTCAAGAGGGAAGTTGGAGTCACATCTTGGAAGGAAAAAGGGCTGTTTTTCTTTATACTTTGTCTCATGTAAATGTCACATGCTGTGGCTAAGTGTGGTAGACAGAGTTCTGAGATGACCCCAGGGCTTCCCCTGCCCGGTGTATGCACATCCTACAGAATCCAAGGGGCTGGGAACCTGGGGGATTTTGTTCCAGCGATTTGGTTACTTACAAGGTTTGGCTCAGTTGGTCTTAAGACAGGAGGCTATCCTGATGGGTCTGACTTAACTTTGAGAATCCTTTGAAAGAATGTTTTCCAGCTGGTTGCAGAAGGTGTCAGAACACAATCCAGCTGTCCGGGAGAAACGAACACGCCTGTGGGAACTTCCACTGGAGTCCAGGACTAGGAACTGTGGGAAGCCTTTGGGGATTGAGAATAGTCAATGACCAACAGCTGGCTTCTAGTCTCCTGATCTTGCATGACAGTAAGTGGCTCTTGTTTGTGTGTGCACCAGTGTATGTGTCCAAGCAGGTCTGTGTGTAGTGCAGGTGCCCTTGTGTGGATGGTTGCCAGAGGGTAAAATCAGTTGTTATTCATCAGAAACCACCCACCTTTTCCTCCTCTCCTCTCCTCTCCTCTCCCCTTCCTTCTTTCTTTCTTTTTCTTTCTTTTTATTTGGACAGGTTCTGTCATTATCAATCAGGCTAGGTTGGTTAGCCAATTAGTCCCCAGAGAGCCTGCCTGTCCCTGCTGCCTCCCAAGTGCTGATATTACGAGTGTGTGCCACTGTGGCTGGTATTATTTGTGACGGCTCTGGGGATCAAACTCAGGTCCTTGCATTTGCAAGGCAAGCACTTGGCCAACTGAACTATCTACCCAGACCCTAAGATGATAATAGTTTTAGATGCAAATTTTCAATAATGTTTAATACTGCAGCAGAAAACTGACATTCCAAGGAAGATTTAGAGTTTAAAAGATGTGGAGGAGCATTGGTGAGCAAATAAATACACCTATTTGGGTATTATCAGGGAACTATTAATCACAATGTTTATACTTCCATTGCAAAACAAAAAGTTTAAGAGGAAGGGAAATGTTGAGTATTTGCCAGGGTTTCAGAGCAAACTCTTGGCTAGATCAGGCTGCCACTGAGCTTGCCTGGCACTTCTGTTTCCCTCTGTTTAGTCTAGGATTGAGGCCTTTTCTTTAGCCAGCGGCCTGTCTTGGGTTTCTAGGGGCACAAGGTCTCCTGTTTGCTTGCATCAGAACTGTCTCCACAAACCTTCACTCTTCCTGATGTGGGCTACCTGTAATTGCTGACTTAGTCAGAGATCAGTTACCCTGGTTCAAAGGGAAGATCTGGAGTTCACAGCATAATCTCTAATTTTCCAGGCTATTTGAAGCAAGAAAAGAGTTTAGGAGCCCAAAGCCTCAGACCTTAATTTTGTGTGTGTGTCTTTTGCTGTGTGACGACAAAGCATTATTTGTCTTCTTGGAGTCTTAGGAGATCTCATCAGCTACAGTTTGGGGAAAACACGAGGCAGCGTGCTGATGGAAAGCATGGACTGTGATGTCATACAACGCATGATTACTATTTTGGCTTTAACTATGAGCTCCATAACTGATATTTAATTTTCATTCTGAAGTCTATTAATAACCCAGTCACATAGGGCCTACATCTAATGTTAGGATATTGCTCCAAGTTATTAGAGATGGGGAATGAGATTGGTTACCAGTGTAGATAATATTCTCATAGAGGTAAAATTCCATTGCAGGGGAGGCTATCATAGTATTGTGTTTCAATCTAGAGGTGTTCTCAAAGTAATTATCTAAAACAAAAGCCTCTATGAGATAGTGAAGAGTCTTCTGCTAAATGAGAGTATTGGATTGTGAATTGTCTGCAGGAGGCTGGAAGAATTAGATTGGAGCTGGTTGCACACCTTCTCCTGACCAAAAATAAATTCTAGCATTGGTGTCCCTTTTTGCCCCTCTGCCAGTTCTACAAGGACTGAGACAGTAGTTAAACCTCACTTCTAAGGCACTATCAAAATCTAGGGGTGAGGTAAAAAGAGGTGGCCAGAGAGGTATGGCGTCTTCCACCCAAGAAGTGGGAAGCTGCATTTTTGATGTTTGAATTCTTGGAGGAGAGAAGACACTCATCTAGGCTTTCTCTCAGCTCCTGCAGACAGGAAAAATGGTAACATTTTACCCTAACCTAACCCCAGGGTGAGAGAGAGAGAGAGAGAGAGAGAGAGAGAGAGAGAGAGAGAGGAGAGAGAACAGATACAGAAATACACACATAGACAGGAGATAAAAGAAAATGAAAAAGCAGTTTCCTAGCTTGACTTTAAGAAGAAGGATTACACTTCTGGAGCACAGAACCAAATACACAACACAACAGCTACAATTCTTGGGTCCCTTGGGCACAAGAAGTAGCATGGGAAAGACTCTGATTTATATGAGTGTTTAATAGCCAAGTTCATCTACTCAACAGGTAGGAAACCAGTTTGTAGATGCAGCCAGGGACAATAGAAAAAGCAGAGTTGGGACTGACTTGTTTGTAATGGATGACACAACTCATAGGAAGCCAAGGAAACACAGTGTGGATATAATCATGAGTTAACCCTTGCCAGGAGCATGGGCAGTAAAACAAAGAGGAAAGAAGGTGCTGAGGTCTTGATGAGAGATAAATCAGGATCCCAAGGAGTAGCTTTAAGGGAAAACATTCATTAATTCATTCAGATTCATTCTCTCATTCACCAAGTATTTATGATCTAGCACATACTAGGTATAATCCAAAGGATCCCAGCTTCTCTGCTTGAGAGTGAACAAGAATGGAAAGAGAATGAACTCAAGTTCATTTAAGAGAAGTCAAAACGAATGGCCAATCTACTCTTCTCAATCACTTTGGAGCTACATTATTTCCATTGTCATTAAGAATAAAGGGCTTATCATTTTTTAAATAAAAGAGTCCCCGTGGAAGAGGGATTCATGAAAAACCTCAGTTTGAGGTGACATCACAATGTTGATGACTTGACTTCATACATCCCAGCCACCTGACTTTAACAGTCCTTACAGTCAGCCTGATTGTACTCACCCTGGTGCTGAGGTTCTATTATTTACCCAAAGTGTTTCACATTCTCAAAGTCGTGGTCTGATTTTACCCTAGACGCTCATGTCATCAGGCATCCCATTTTCTAGTGCACTGGGAGTCTGGAAGTCAGTGGTGTCCATCTCACCATGAGTCACCTCAGGCCTGACACATGTATTTTCCATTTTGACCACCAGCTTCTCAGTCATTGGTCTCTGCCCATCCTTGGCCTTCCCTTGGGATGTTCTTGCATTATGACTTTTTAATCTTCTACTCATGCTTTAATTAAGGACTTGCCATGTCCTTGCTACCACCTTTGCACACAGTTTCAGTTATCCATTACTACATGCCAACCATTGCAAAGATGAGGACCTTAAATACTGCCTTCCACCACATGCCACAGTTATGTGAGGCCCCAGAAGTGTTCAGTTGATTGTAATCCACCACTATTCAGATGGTGGCTAGGCTTTGTCCACATGTCTGCCTCTGGGAGAGAGAGATAGCTGTAAGACTGGGCCGAGATGGGTTCTTCTCTATCTCCAAATATTCTCAGAGCTTCTCTGTATGATTGCCCCTGTAGGGTATCTGGGCTTGTTTGAAGCCCCCAGTGGTCCCAAAGAATAAGTTCCTCCTTTGTCTTAATTTTTGTGCATGTGTATGTGTCTGTGTGTGAATGTTTATATATGGGTGTACATGGATGTGGGGGTTGGAGAACAACCCTGGGTGTCAACTTCAGGAATACTGTTGACCCCATTGAGATATTCTCTCAAAGACTTGATTCTTACCACTTAGGCTAGGATTGCTGACCATTGAGCCCAGAAGTTCACCTGTTGCTATCTCTAAAGTGTTGGGATTCTAAGTGTGTGCTTGGGGATTGAACTTCCCCTCTCTGAGACCAAATGCTTGTAAAAGTTATGCCTCCAAGTGGTAGAGTGCCTTGTTTCTACCCTGTAGATCAAAGTGGCCAGAGGCCAGGGAAGATTCAGGGAAGGAAAAATAACTCTACTTCTATGATTGAGGGAGGGAAGGAGAGCGAGAAAGAGAGATGATAGATAGATGATAGATAGAATCTGCTTATACTTTAAATTTCTTACACCTACTCATATCCAAGTTGGAAATTTCTTTTCCATGTGTTCATTGGAAACTAACTTGACTCCAGATACTCTATTCTGTGCTGTGCTTGGCTCACCCCATTCCAGCACCAACATTGTGAAAGAGCCACATTGCAGGGGTGTCCAAGGTTATGATGTGTAATATAAAACTGGGATCTACTCAGGTTTGGTGGATATGGAACACACTGTCTGGACCTCGCTTTAAAGGAGGGTTGGCTGCTAGGGATAGGGAAGGCAGATGGCATTTTCTACCTGTCAGCATCATCTGGGTCTGCCTTCACTTCAGGGCTTTGTCTACTAATACCAGACCTTACCTGGGTTGTCACAGTCAAGGACAGAGTGCAACAGGCATCTCAAGGCCTGGCCACTTTGGTCCAAGCATTTTGATGCAAAACAACATGGCCAGTAACACTCAGTAGTTCTCCAGCCAGTGATGAAGGCAGCCTGCACTGCAGCTCTCTTTCTTCAACTGCTAAATAGGCTTCTTTTTTTTCTCTTACATGTGCTGTTCCCCCGTGAACATCTTGCACACCAAACGGTCTCAGCACTTGCTTCCAGAGTACCCAGGCTGTGGCATACTTCTGCAGCTTTTTTTTTTTAAAGCAGAGAATAGGTAGCTGCTCATGTGTGTGTCTGTATACACACACATGCACATGACCAATATATGCTATACATATGTATATTTACATAAAACTACACATGGACACACATGTATGTATACAAAACAGACACCCATTCCGGTGTCAGAGAGGAGCCTCTACTCCTTTCCAGCACTGATTCCTTCCCCTTTTCCTCTTGCTCTTGATTATTTCTATCCCCGTGTACCAGTCCCCCTTAGCCTGTTGGTAAAAGCACCACCCCTATATACAAGGAATGAAAAGGATCTGCTATGACCATCTGTTTGTTTGTAATGTGGACTATCGTTGATATATGTCTTCTCCCTCTTTCTGCCACACAACCTTTGGGCCAGGCACAAAACAGACTGAGCAAATCAGAGCTGCTATTTCACTGAACTGGAGCTAGGGGAAAGCATCTTTTTCTGACAGAAAAATCTGGAAGATACAGGTCCAGCAACATCCTATCCAATGGTCTAACCCATGCTTTTCCTTGTAGAAGAGTATAGCAGATATGTAGTGGGTAGCTGAGGTGAGACCACAGTCCCCAACGCACCAAGTCTTTTCCCATAGTAGTCATCTTCCAATGTACTTGTGTTTTGCTGCTTATGAACATTAATATAGTCCCATTTGCCAAAATTCATTGACATATCACTACAGTTTTGCTCTA